CCACTGATTTCAGAAATGACGTTCAATCCCTGACACAAACCCACTTCAGAAGTACTCGGGACCTCGCATAAGCTAACTGTAAAAAGTAGACAATTCAAAATGAGTCTTAAAAAGGTAAACAGAACAAAAAAAGTTAAATAAGAACACAAAATAAATACTGAATATAATTTTAAATTTAATAATGAGTCAGTCTAATCCCGCTAATATTCATCACTTAATATTTTGAAAAATCATAAATGAAGCATACAGTCTCGTGACCGCTTTGGAGAGGGTTTCTGCTCTAAGCCACAATAGGTTGGAGTTCCTTCTTCTCCAGAGTCAAGCTTCCTTAGCTCCGTCTGTGAAAAAATATTAATGTAAATATATTATTACTGGGGGAACCGATCGCTTCTTAAAGAACTCTACGCTGAAGACGCTTACTAACTCACCCATTGAACAGTGCCGAACTCATCTTGATCAGTAATATCAGATGGTAGATCTTTGACGTAACCACCACCCTTAACAAAAGCTTTCCAACCATTGTCGACAAGAAAACACTCAGATTCTCGCACTCCTAAAATTGTAAGTTAACTACTTTAAAAATACGGCACCGCAAATCAGTTCTTCAAGAGCAAGAAAAAAGATATAATCCACAAGCCTGGTACTGAAGAAACACAAAGAATTTGGGCCGAAGGAACTGAAAAAGATCCAACAAGACCATTGGGATTATTGCAGTCCAAAAGCCCAACGTGACTTTTGTCTTGGTTAGAACTGCAAACCCAAAGGAGACTGGAGCTTTCCAACGCAGACATCTCCGTGCTCTGAAAACGTTTTTTTGAAAAATCTGATCGGAGAAAAAGAGTTGTAAGAAAAGTGATATTTTACTTTCTAAATTTAAACTGATTAAGATATGTAACTTTTGATAGCTTTTTCCTTTAAGCTAAACTGTCGCACTTTCCATTTTCGTTCTTGTCATTCATAAAAAGTCCTCTTGTCTGTCACAAAAAAAGCTTTTTTTAGAAAGAAAGTATGAATAATAAGGAAGAAATAAATCAGCCTCTCCCAATACTGATATATATTACATTTGTTACCGCACGCTGTAACAGCATAAACAGAACTATCTTTAACAACACTACTTCCATGAGCCTAAAAGCCACAAAGATACGAAGACCTACAATTTAGACTAGAAAAGCCTCTCTAAGGACCATAAAACCAAGAAGCGACATGTAGACGCGCAATAAATTAAAGCTTCCAGAAGATCGCAAAAAGACACTCGACCAGCCAAGGTTAGAGTAAGTTCCAAAAGAAAAGGCAACCCAATAAGGGTCCCCTTCCAATAACTCTCCAGATAGCACTTTTCAAGAGTAAGAGATCATTTATTCGCAATTTAAATAAACTAAACTGCAACAGATAGAATGGTAACAAGTCAGAAATGTGACCCTAGATAACATTAAGCCCCGCCATTTTACAACCAGCTAGCACTTTAAAAAAGATTCTAGTTACTGCTTGTTGACTTTTATCTACATTTTACACATTCAAATATTTTAAGAATGCGCAAAAAATCCTTTTATTTCTTAAAAATATTACCTTTCCCAAGAAAATACATCACTTGATATGAAGTGGAGGGTTTTTCCCCCAAGCTGTAACGTTACTTTCTACAGGGCTCCGTAAACCTGACCGAATTTCGTAATAACCCCACCACTTGTAACAATTTTGGATTCATTCCATCAAAAATAGAAATATGATCAAAAAATTCTCACTGAATATGACCCCAGGTAAAAGAAAAGGAAAAGCCATTCACCGGTAACAAAGACGAATCGTCTCCAACGATCAGACTTGGCAATTTTTCGTCATTTATAAATTCACTCTCTGCATTTTTGCCTCCACGTAGCGTAACTCCAGACGCACACCAAATCTGAGTGGAAAAAAATTAAAGGCAAATACATTTTTTAACCAGCAGAAAAAAAACAATCACAGTAACCATTTTTAGAACAGTGAAGTCAAAACAATATATGGTTTTGCTATCTAGGTGAAATTACAAAATTCAAAGATTTTCCCTACTTCACACCAGTGTTAAACTAACTTTTAATGAAGGGTCTAAATCTAAGAGCGGACGGCAGAACACTGGAATTGGTATAGATGACGATCCAGTTTCTTCAGTACTGTTAGCTGGCAGAGACCAGCCATTAACATGCACTCTATCACCTTCTTCTTTCCTAATATGTTCCCTTACGATTTTGTATTGCTGCCTTCGTTCAGCAGCTCGTCTCTCCGACGCCCTAATTTTAAAATTAACAGAGGAAAATCAAAATATAGGCTAATAAAATAGCCAACTCACAAATCAGGATCCATAAAATCAACATTTTTCGAAGTTTTCCTACGCGATCTCGCTTTAGATGCACTTATCGAACGATGCGACCTGCGGATTGTTCTATGAGGTGGAGGGTCGTGGGCAAATAGACCGGAGAAACTAAACTACACCTAATTTACCTTATAAGTAACAAACCAAGAAAGTAAGATGTTTTAGATTTGTTAATGAACAAAAAAACAGTTTACTAAATATAGAATTCCGAATCACAAAATAACCTATCCAATTTTCCTAAAATAAATTACTGTTCACGCAAACTAATTATGTTTTACATGCTAGATGCGCTACATTTCAACAAACACAAAAATTTTTACAAACGATTACGAATAGTCAAAGGAACCAGAAAAGCAACAAAGGCATACAAGTCCCATATGCTGCCACTCTTCTTATTTGCTTGCATAGCATTCATCCTTTTTGCCCGCTGAAGCTCTGTCCACTTTACAGCTTCTTGTAATTCCATTAATTTTTCCTTATACTGATTACGTTCCATTAGAACACGTGCCATTTCGAC